TAGCTCCGACATCGTCTTCTCCTGTTGCTCCAACATCATCATCTCTTGTTGCTCCAATCTCAACATTTCCTCTAGCTCCGACATCATCTTCTCCTGTTGCTCCAACATCATCTTCAACTGTTGCTCCAACATCATCATCTCATGTAGCTCCAACATCATCTTCTCTTGTTGCTCCAACATCATCTTCAACTGTTGCTCTAACATCATCATCTCAAGTAGCTCCAACATCATCTTCTCTTGTTGCTCCAATATCATCTTCAACTGTTGCTCCAACATCATCTTCTCTTGTTGCTCTACATCATCTTCTCCTGTTGCTCTAAGATCATCATCTCCTATAGCTCTAACATCATCTTCTCCTGTAGCTCTAACATCATCTTCTCCTGTTGCTCCAACCTCAACATTTCCTCTAGCTCCGACATCATCTTCTCCTGTTGCTGCAACATCATCTTCTCCTGTAGCTCCAACATCATCATCTCATGTTGCTCCAACCTCAACATTTCCTCTAGCTCCGACATCATTTTCTCTTCTTGCTCTAACATCATCATCATCTCCTGTAGCTCTAACATCATCTGCTCTTGTTGCTCCAACCTCATCTTTTCCTGTTGCTCTAACATCATCTTCTCCTGTAGCTCCAACTTCATCTTCTGCTGTTGCAGAAATGCAAAAACTATACCAAGTAGCAGCACTGCAACTGCACATGCAATCACTGTCTGATTTTTTCTCCTTGTAATTTCTGTCTGAGTTGTTTTAAACATCTCAAAAATGTAAGGCATCATTTCATTTTTCTTCATCATTGTGTCAATATTTTTCAGCAGTCCAGTGACCTGATCTTGATGGTTTCTGTCCTCATTGTTGAATGAGTGATATCTGCCTTCACAGCTTCGAACTAATTCCATTAAATAGTCACTTTTACTAATGTACTCTTCCACAGGTTTTCCCTTCAGCAGATCAGCGTGAGTGAACAGAATGATGGTACGACTCATAGCTTCTTCTCCAAAGTTCTCCTGAATCCATTTCACTGCTTCTCTCTCTTCTTTTGTGAAACTCACACCTAGCTTTAGCACCAGCAGAAACACATGAGGACCAGGAGATGACATCTGCACACACTTTTCTATTTCAGTCTTCACTTGTTGTTTATCCATAGCTGTGTTAAATAGTCCTGGAGTGTCAATTAAAGAGACGTTTTTTCCATCCACCACTCCTTCCTGTTTCTCACATGATTTATTGGCTGATTTCATGAAATCAACAACTTCAAAAGCCTTTCTGCCCAGGATAGTGTTTCCTGTTGCACTTTTTCCTGATCCAGTTTTACCCAGAAGAACAATCCTCAGATCAGTCCCT